CGTTTGGAACGCCCACCGAAACACATGGACAGCTTGGCGCAAACTAACGCGCGGTCGGATTCGAGGGGAGTGTTCCAGTACGGTCGGCAGTCTTGTGTACAACCCCGCCATTAGTAGCTTATAGTGATGTGTTCGATCTACATCCGTCTCTGACTCGAGGAGGGCGGACGCCAAGTGGCGTACCGGCNCAACCGTTTCCCGAGCGAAAGGAATCTAGTCCGAAATGACCACCCAGATGCGCCTCACTCGAAGCCAGCCGACCTACTCTAGCATTCATATCTCCTACTAAAATCACGATATCAGCCTGATTCGCTTTACGCAAGAGGTCGTGTAGGTTATGATAAAATTCATCTTTGATTGCATCTGGGCTGCAGTCCGTTGGGGCGTACGCCGACACGGCACAGGTTTCATCTATCGGGGCGACGGCTGTTTACTTTGCCTGAACCTCGAAGTCTCACTGCGCACAACCTACTGTCGACTGGGAACCAGCCCAGGAGAGCGGCTTCAGCTCTCTCACTGAGAGCCACACCAACACCAGCAAGACCGGAAGCCGCAGCCTAAGGGTCCTTAGGGAGGCGTAAGTGAATCTTCTCTGATGGGTTTGATGGGGACGTCAATCGAATAATGGAGCTGGAGTCTTGAATACGAGTCTCTTGGATACAACACACATCGATGGCTAGGGTCTCGAGCGTACGAACTAAACCGGCCTGTTGTCCTATACGCACCAGAGTGCACACATTAAATATGGCTAGTTTGAATGGGCATCGACGACAAAGAAGGGCTTCAGCTGGTGGAGGATTCGGTGAGATTTGGAGGGTAGTCGAGTTAGGAAATGAGGGAACAGCGGTAGAGTTTCCATCTGAGGCACTAATGTTTGCACGATCGTCTGAAGATCCCGAGAAAGGCGGTGGATATGGGATGGGGGAGGGCTGGGGGGACATGAATGTGTGTACGGTGTAGAGTGTTGGTCCCTAGTTGCAGAAACTGTAGACTGGATGCACATAGAAGTCGAAGAGTTCATCCTTGCTGGCGTTGTGGGCTGTTGTACTACTCGGTCGCCCGGTCCAAAGTATACCTTGTTCGAGGGTGCACTCTAGCCTTTGCGCAACCAAGCGCGGACTGCAAGGCAGCAGCGATATTCCAAATGAGCCGGTGGCCAGTATTTAGTTCATTCGCTTCTTCTGATACCTTGCCGAACACTAGATTTCTACAAAGGGCGATGGCCATATTTATTGGCGGGCCACACTCGCCACGTAACAGCGCTATCCACAGATACGTGTGGTGTTTTGTGTGGAGTACTCTTACCAAGAAGTAAACCCACCACATCCTCGAGCGCTGCCGCTGATCGTCCGCGATCGCTTATTCGGAGGGCCAAAGCCCACCTTAATCACGGTTAGCCGTGAGATGACGGCCGTTCCCCTATCCGCGACCTGGGGACGCGCTCCGTAGCATACAGCTCTGCTCTCCCGAGACACGAAAGCAAGCGATGGTAGTAGGTTTTGAGCGGCTGAAAAACACTGGCATCCGAGTAATTCAGATCACCAGTGACATGAGGAGTTACGTTCCGGTATGTGCTATCATATCTGGAATGAATATTTCTACAAATGCGTAAACATCATTTGTTGTATCACGAGGTTGGTCGTATACATTTGATATGATGATGGATCGGCATTTACTAAAAAATCTGACTTTGCATTCAATCATAAATATGACATTTGATTGGTACTACTCATGAATAGAGTTCTCTAAGAACGTTTAATATGCGTTACTAAGATCCAGCCACGGTTTCGTAGCGGTTTGGGAAATTCGATGAATACTGCATCCGTAGATTTCAACCGAAAAATCAAAGATTTCTGAATGAAACTGTCTCTAGGTGGAAAAAGCTGAACATGTTACCAGTAACGCCCAATCATCTTTTTTCTTCCCCGGAGAATGTACATTTTTACCTGCACGACACGCGGCTGCTTGCCAGCTAGTACGGTGTTTTCCGAAGATTCCGTGGTGCTTTCAATTCCGTCGATTGTACCGGTTAATCTCTGGTATTGAGAATTTGTTTAAAATTATAATTCGACACATCATGCCTTTGACATTTTGAAAAATCCTTAGAGTATGTCGATTTTTCGCTCCTTAATGTAATTGATAAAACGGTAAATCCAACAAGGCAAATGTGCACGATGATAACATTGGTGATGAGCGCAAATAGCGCGGACGGGTTTGACAATCTTTAACAAGCACTGTTTTTTTGTTGTTTTGTCGTGAGTACATCTTCGACTGTTCCAGTAATTTGAAACTTTGAGTTCTCTTTATCCATTTGATCAATATCGAAAGGAGACAAATGTCTCAGTAATCGTTAAACTGGTTGGATGTGGAATTGCCGGAAAAGCGAAGAATATAATTTGTAATAAGGGAATCTGCCACATTGCATGTTCAGAAAAGTAAATACTTTTAACCGTTCTTATTATTTTTCTTGAACATATTTTCACTTTACTGGCAGATGGCGGCAAATTGACATAATTCCCCCCATCATTTGGTAAAATGTTTTAACCCCTGGGAGGGAGTATGTTTATCTCGCTTTTTTGCCTCATAGTTAAGCATTGACCTGTGAATTTACTTTCTGGACTGGTATTCCAGACCAGATGTGGCTTATACAAATATTTATTTCCAATTAGCGTTTTCATCTCAGCAGTTTCATCGTTTTTTGATAATTTTCACCCAGTCTGAATCCAGAACGTAACAAAAAAAATATAATGCAGTAATCTTTATAAAACGAGAAAGTTCTATTATTTGAATATGGCAGGAATATTACCAGGTTACGCAGGCTAAGGCAAGTGAATTTTCTTTGGGAATTCGCAACTGGAGCCTTCGACTAGACAAAGTTTACCCACAAGGTAGCCGGACAGTGGGCGGAAACCGGAATCCATTGCCGGTCGCTGTCACCGGAGCATACGCTCTTCGGATTGGGTCAGGCGTTCAAGGTACTCAATAAACCTACATGCCCAATCGAACCGGTTGACCACTGACACAACCAAAAAGGCTCGTTCCCCTCTTCTTGGTTGGCTTGGAATCAGGGTTTTTAGCCAACTCGCCTAGGTGAACTGCCAGAGGTTCACCGACCCAGTGATAGCCCCGGATACTCGCTTTTTATCCTCTCACTTTGGTGGGAAATCACCTCTGCCATGGAAAGGCAGTAAATAGGTCTTCCTCAGTAGATGCTGTTTTAAACGCTTGGTCTTATAGAAGCATTTCGTGAAGTGTAAGAGAAGGATCACCGACTACAACCTGAGACACCCATCCCGACCACACTGCGGCTTTTGGAGGCTCTTTTTTGGGATCAGAAGTTATGTTAGCCTTGACCAGTGGACTTTATCATGTGGGTTTGTTGGGCTTTTCAGTTAAGGAAGTGGAGATAAGCCCATTCAGTGGTGATGGATATTGGGGATATAACTGAGTTCCATAAATACTGACGCGCGCATTTATTCACTCTTTGTACATAACACATTTTACTACGATTGCTACTTTTTATCTTGCTATCATCTGTTTTTTTTCACTTGGTCTCACTCCATTTTCTACAGGTGGGCCGCTCTTGGTATTTAAAAGGTAGCTATCAAAACCAAAGCCCGGGAGAGCAGAGTTAATAGCTGCACGCAATGAACCCTGCTAGATCAGAGCACGAAGAGAAAGAAATCGGTAAAGCTCAGTTAATCACTGGGGAAATCGCAATGCACACGCTGTTCAGAAGCTGTGCGACTGAATTGATTAAGGTACTTAGCCTAGTCGCGCATAGAATATTAAGCGTGATACAATGACCAAATTTCAACTATAGAATATTTGCGTCAAATAAAAAATCACATGAAGTGACGTGTTCTTCATGAAGTCCCGACTGTTCCCGGTTATCGGACTATTCTCTTTTTGAGAGATTATACACGGGCAGACGTATTTGTCTCATAAACCGAAAAAAAACATAGACAATCAGCATCCTAACAGTTTGACTTTATTTCCGATTTGATTCATGGTTTGAGCATTCATTTACGCGCGTATAAATCGTCACTAGGTGGTTGCCTTCCAGCCGCATGCATTTTTGCCTAGTCTGCAATCCAATACAGGGCAATACTGTTAATCAACTAAACACGCGTGTAGGCTTTGGGCTGTCAGTTTTAAGCAGCGCCATTTAATGCTTTGTTTGTTTGTGGCACAGCCCTTCACGGACACTCTTGATTAAGGCAGGGACTGTCTCTTTCAGTCGCATAGTAACTCTTCTCAGCATGAAATACACGCTAAGCTTTGTTATGGGTTGTCTGATTGAAATAGCAACCTGTGTTGTGGCACATATTTCGCTAGTCGCTTATAGTTTCTTGTACTTGTGTGACAGAATCCTCGAGTTCTGTCTAATGTATTTAGAAAAACCATCGGGCTTCCTCCATTGTATTGCTTTATTCCCGCTTCTTTTCCTGTTCATCCGTTGTTTCATTTTTTTTCTACCTAAACTAAAGCGGTATGTATCAGTGTGGGTTAAATGTCAGTGGTAAGTTGTAATTCTAAATCTGAACCAATAATAGTTGATTCCACATGATAATGCTGTGCTCTTATTGAATTACTGTTCTATATCAATGTTATTCTGTGGCGCTCTGGTGGGTCAGCTGACTGATTCCTGGATTGATGACCCACCAAATTCTTCACTCCATCCGCATTTACCTCATTTTCGGGCTCATATCTTGACATTTTTGAGCACATAAGGCACCTTTTTTGAATACAACTAATTGGATCCATACAATTTAACGCAACCTTCAAGACAAAATATATCAGTTCCACAAATGAAATCCAAAACAAAAATGAGTTTCAATGGTCGTCTGGGTTTATAGAGGGAAGCAACAGACGAATGAAAATACTAATTCATTTGTTTATGTTCCCAGATGTTAGTTCCTACCGGTTTTCAGCGATACGAGATTACGAAGCTGCGTTCATCCATTTCAATGTTTGGGTTCATACCTCAATCCCACGCGTTACATTCAGCACTCACTCGTCTTTCTTTCATGCACATCGGCTCGTAAGAAAGTTGATTCAATCTGTACCCTTTCGCATGTTTCGGTAGTAACGTAACCACTGCTGTGGCTGTTTGGAGTGATCTTCCTCTCCCCAATCAATGTCCAAATTCATACTTGCCGGTTTTACTTGATATGGAGTAAGAGAACTGGTTACCCAATTCAGTCCATACGTTCTCATTACATGCTCTTCGGTCACACGGACCCACGACGTGTGTTATCTTGTTAAGCAGAAAATAAGGGGAAATTTGTTAGTTTCGTTGTAGACATTGTAATAGGGATTTTCATTGGGTGATAACTGAGTACGGTGACTTCCACTGATCGAGCTAGCGATTTTTTGTCTTCTCGATGAATTTAGTGGTAAAAAACCTACTTTATTGTAATCACACCATTAATCATGCTATAAACACTAGTTTATCCCATTTATTCTTAGTGTTTTCCTCTTCTGGTGTGTGTAAAAATGTTGACTAAACACCAAAAGGATTTGGGTATAAAACTCACATGATATTGTTCGCACTTTGGTTTTACGTCCGGTACATGGTTTAGTGCATTTCCTTGACCTGGTCAGCTGGTCAGTGATACAGTTATTTCGTTCCTTTTTCATCCAATAAACCCAAACAAACAAACGAGCGTGTTTACAGCACTTCGACAATATGCACACATACAATCATATAACGAACAAGAGAGAGACAAATAGCGAAGTCGGGTCGATTGGTTTTCCTGCCTTGCAGTTGATTTACAAGATGACCTGTACGCTGTACGCCGTGTTAGTGTATCAAATCACCACAAGTTGTATTCATCAACCAGACACCGACTACGGTCATCTGCATCTGGAGGGCTGCATCGTGACATATGGCCAACGTTGACCCCATAGGTGATACGTTTTGTCGTCGAATCCGGTGACAAATTCGGTTCTGGTTTGTTTGTCCAAGTAAGGCGTTTCGGTCGCTCGGAAAAGCCGTGTGCAGCCCTCAGATTGTGTTCGAAAAATTGCACTGGCTGGTTGACGGACTTGAAGTTTAGAACATTTTCTTCCTCTTAGGGGGGGGGGTCGATTTGAAACGGCTTTACAGTGCTTTGGTGATATGTGATACGTTTACAATGCATGTTGAATTACTTTATAATCACTCTGTTGTTCGCTTTTTCACCTGGTCCTCTTCTCTCCTCTGCATCTCGGCTATACATTTAATGTGTATGCCTTACATTTTCATCGCATCTGTGGAAAATAAATGAACCCACGTGGAACGAAACTCACACTCCAACATTATTCACCGGAGGAACGCAATATGGGTTTTTCCAATTTCAGATATTCTCAAGTCATTCGCTCAAGTTGCTAACAGTTCACTGTATAGCTGAAGGTAGGATTTTTGGTTCCGTTTCAGTTTGTACAACCATTAACCATGCACTTTCGTGCGCCGGTTTCCGTTGCTGTCTTCTAGCTGCCTATTTGGATGGAGAAAAAGGAAGATTGAAATGTTGAAAGCAGTATCAAGGTGAATATAGAGAACTCAGGTCGACCAAGGTTTCATGAATATTGTTTAGGTGCACAAGCACCACTGTTTACAACACTCCACCGCCTCACTCATTGCCTCTAATCAGCGGTTACGCTGATCACGAGGTCCCCATCCACGAAACCTAACGCGACCTAAGTTTCTAGTTTCCCCGGTCAGGGTTTTCATACCCTCATACTAAATCTTAATTTGGCCACCCTTTACTTCTTTCCACCCACTAGCTGCCTCGGTACACATCGCGTTCAGTGGCATGTGTAGCACATGCCACAACCAACTTAATCTGTGGAGGCCGACCACGTGCTCTAATGGGCGACCGCGATTACCCAAGACTCTATGTCTAATCTCGGCATTGCTTGACCGGTTTCCCCACCAGATTCGTGCAGTGCGTCATAGACAGCGGTGTTCGAACACTGGCAACCTACTATTTTTATCCTTTTCCGGTAACGACCAAGTCACTGCATCATATGACAGCACTGGCCGAACCGCTGCAGCATACACAGACGGCTGGGTGTCCCGACAATGCTAGAGACGTCTCAAGTTGACTTCCACTCTGAAGGTTCGCATTCCGAAAGGGGCACAAAATGTACGCACCGCTAGTGAATCCTAACACGGATGAAACAGTTGTCTAGTGTTCTTTGTCGGTCTGCACTCAAATATTTGCCACCCAAATAAATGTAATTGTTTCATCAAACTTGCCATTTTTCTCACCACCGTAATATTCATTCACCCGGGGAAGCAAACTTTTTTCACTAAAGAAGAGAACGAACTATTTGAGATATTCGCATGTTTTCCCACCTTATACTCTACTCGTTAAGTAAAATCTTTTCCCAAGGGTCATTTTGATGAGATCCGTTGTAAAAGTGAGATTGGCCATTTACATAGGTAGAAGGAAAATACTCAGCAGATTGATCCTCAGAGCAATCTCTCCTGTCCTGGAGCATGCTGAATGTATCCATGTTTTTTTCCACCCCAGCTAAACTGAAAACCTTGCGTTGATGTGATTGTGTGAAAAAATTTTCAAGTGTGCTGATCAGTAACCCTTTGATAACAGTTTCTTATTCTGATGAATTACTCTCCTGAGTTGCAGTAACATCAATGCAATTGGTTGCAGAGCCAGGCGAAAATGCACCCTTTTAGAAATATTAAAGCCATGTTGCCTCGCGTTTAATTCAGGCACACTCCACTGTTTCGGTTTCGGAATCATACCAGTTGTGTCCTATCAGTAACTTCGTTACGTGACATTTTCTTCTGCCATAACCTTTCTGGCCTACGCTACATTACGAATAACTAGCAACTCGCATTCGGTTTGAAATACTGTGGAATGATTGTAGCTCGGGATGCGGATGTTGTGGATGGTGTGTTCCCCGAGCTGGAAGTGTTGTTCGCAGACGTTCGCAGGCAGCATCATCAGTGCAACTTCGGGGAGGAGGAGGGGGGGGGCGAAGTAACACTGCTTAGGCATGCCTGATCACTAACGTGTTGGTAACCTGTTTATCCTTGCTCACCGATGTACTTTTAAACTCCATCGATCGGTTTACGGTCCGTGTACGTGTCGTCTCAGAATTTGCCCTGTGAATTTGTTGCGCCTCAATTGTCCCCTATGCTCATTCTCACGATTTCACCACACAATATCACTTTGTTGTGCACACCAATGCAATTCAAGTGTCTATTGGTTTTCATTCGACTTCACACTTGAGGTTGTGTTTAGGACTGGGCTTTTGAGTATGTATTTGTATTTCGAAGGTTCTTTATACGGATTAGAATGTTCTAGCAAGTTCTTTGACTCTATTGTAATTATAAACTTCAGTTGCAACTGTTTTGGTTCCCAACAAGACCTACATTCTTTTGTTCCGTTAAACCCGATAAGTGCTTGGAAAGTGTCAGATCCAGGGTATCATGAATACATTTGTTCATCAAATGCTTTGATCACGAACCCAGCTTTAGCAATGCTATTTCTGCCTACCGAATACAAATGTAAACATTGACACCAAAAGTTAATGATTTCAAACGAACACAAGTGGCGCGGGCGTTTAGTGTGCTGCGGATGAATGCGATTGTCTGGTTCATGTGTAAATTTCTTAAATACTCCAATTAATGACAATATGCTCATGAGTCTTTGCTGAATATGGCATTGTGCACATTGTTTGGAAAGGATTAATTGGGGTTACTGAATATTGATATTTAATCTATTTCAACTTTACTATAATGTACGATAGAGTTTGGGAGTTTTGTGCATAGGAACCATCGGTGCTTCGCTGGATGATTACGTGTAAATTAAATTATCCATACATTGGTTCCATCAAAGCGGAACATGCTGTGAACTCTGTTTTCGCTTTAAGCAAATTTTTCACACACCACAATACACAGTTGTCGGAAAACTTAGTAATCAGTAGACTTTTTCAATACACTCCGAACTGTGCTGGGTTACAAATTCCACCGAACGGAACAAGTTTTTGAGATAGTGCATCTCTACCGAATGGTGTGGTATGACTTGCTGTGGACGGTACAGAGTGATACTGCACGCATCCGCAGACATATATGACTCTTCTACATGTGGATGATCACTTCCATCATCAAAGTTCTCGGACTAGGCAGTAGTCCATCAACTTCATGTTTCTGGTGTGTGGATTTTATCGTCACAGTCTTGTTTCCCATCTTTCCCTTTGCGGCTTCATGGTAACATTTGCCAGCCGCTGTCATAATGATAGTAGCATACGGTTCAGAAATTTGGTCTTTGAGTGTAGGAGGTCATCGGTACTCGAACACCGCCGTGTGCACCGCATTGCAAAGGTACAATCTGGTGACCGAATCATAAATGCTATGACTAGGTGTGAAACATCCGTTACCTGCGACCGGACATCAACATCGGTGCTTGAACTTCACAGGCTGTAATGGTTGAGGTCTGTGTGATGCATATTTCGGATTAGAACACCTCGACATGTATTGTTTTGCTGAGTCAGATTGTGGTTCGTAAAAGGTCATGGTTAGTTAAACAGTGACGCGATGTGAAAACTTTGTCCAATGAACTCGGTCGCGTTAAGCCTACCGGTGGAATTGATTTTTCATAATCTACCTGGTCAATGACTGTGGATGCCAGGTAAAATGACTAAGTGTGTTTTAAACGGTGGCATCAAAACCTAAACAGCAACATGTAGAGTTAACAGCTAGCAGTGCTAACTTTCCTGCTTTTTCTTTCACTATTTTACTTGCCTCTTCAAGTCATGCTTGGAATGGCTCTCCGATTATCCGGGCAAATTTTTAAATAACACCAAAGCACTGAAGTATAAGGTTCGTGCCGGAGCACTCGAGCTCGGTTGTAGTCATAACTTTTAAAGACCCTGCATTCAGCCTAAGTGAAACTGTTTGCAGTTTCATGTGTGTATTTACTGGCATTTCTACCTGTTAGAGCACCTCTGTGTATTAACACGCTGTGTTCTATATGCAATCAACCATCCGCATCGTTTTTGACATGTATTTTTGCCCATCTTTTAGATTGCTTTGCCCGCGGTTCACTTTATCCCCGGTTCCGATTTGAATGGATCGTACGAGAATGTTTTAGACGCTCTGTGGCAAATCAAAAACAACACTTTGCTTCTCGTCAACTGTATTCTATATATATTGTCCATCGCATTCTTCAACTACTTTGGTCTGTCGATCACGCGGTATTTAAGCGGTGAGCATAAATTTCGTTGTTTTCTCACTCCCTTCCCTGCATCATATCCACGACGGTACGAACTACTGTACACATTTTCAACCAAAAGAAAATTATTGCTCTTATTTATTCTATTTATCTTATCACATCTCATTGTAATGAATCGTTAATGGGGTGAAAACCACGGTTAACCAACAACCAATCTCTTGTTTTGACAGCGGAGAACGGCAGAAGAATAAACGTGCTGTCGAACCGTACGACGGCGAAGCCGCACAGCACTAATGTTATTCGGTTGTGATTATCCCGAATCTTGAGGGTCGGTGTGCGCTGGCGGTAACGACCTCATCCTCCAGGCAAAGTGTTACCAGTACCAGCAGTTATTACAACTTTATTCATAATGCAATGTCCACATGCCACCTCTGAAAAGTTGTGGATGCACTACAGCTGTTTGGTCCCTATTAAAATTTGACTTCAGTCCATATCCACCGAGCTCGTAACGGTTGAGATCCGGATATACTGGGTGGTTTACATTATCGCCAAACAATTGGCTCCGGCGATTAGTTCCGAGAATTATTTTGTATTCATCGTATGTGTCTAAATGGAGTTTTTTTAGAATTTTCATTTCTCTGTGGGAACCAAATTGGCAGTTGAGTTAATAAATGAAGGAATGTGGCACGTGACATAATTCGTCTTCGATTTTCACATATTTCGCACCAACTTCACTAGAGTGTGTTGTTGCTGCTTTTCATTTAAACATGTCTTCATCCGTCTCCTGATGCGTCATTAGATGATCGTGCTCAACTGTCGCTAGGGTGGTATGATATTTGTTTGTTTTTTATTATACACTTTCGTGTGGTGAACAAGAGATGGGGTAAACCTCATAGTTACGAGAACCTGCTGTTCATTGATGGAAACCGACAACCTAAGTTCCGGGACTTGGAGTGGCGAACTAGATAAGGTCCCACGAGGTTAGATGTCGTGTTGAGCCGGACGATAGCAAAGCTGTGTACCAACAAACAATAAGCTTTGTCGTATCAATATTCCAATTCTTCGAATGAAAAAATACGTCAACCGAAACCTCTTCCTTGAAAAGTCCCTTATTTATTTTTTTTTCCGCGATTCTTGCACATCCGGTCCAGCCATACGGGCATCAACTTGGGGTCTTTCATCCTAGCTAGGGCCCATATCGTAACCAGAGCAGTTTGTTTCCCTGCAATTTTTTATGTGTTATTCGTGATAATCATGCAGATCTTGTCAGGTCGCGCTCTTTTTTCACTCCGTTAAGTCACTGATCACGCCATCAAGTGTACATTCACTTATGATTAAAAGGAACAGTTACAGCCGCTGGTTTACACTCCGGTTCGCTTTAACCCNTACACTCCGGTTCGCTTTAACCCGTATCAGCTCGACTCCGTTTGTGAAATTCAATATTCTGACTGGTTGTCATCGTTACTGAGGTGAAACGACAGGAGTGAGGCAAGAACCGTACTAAGCAAACAGACGGGTCAGCGCTTTCTACCGTACGTTATGATTGTAATTCGTTGTATCCTTGACCGAAGGAAAAACAAGTTCAACTAATTCTCGGTCCATTTTAAACCGTTGGTAAACGAAAAACAAACAATCGGTTCCATCCAGTTGTGCATCTCAAATCAGAGCATTTCATACTTGTTATGGCTT